TCCAACTATCAGTTTTCATTTAAGAACATTTCAGGAATTATTAAGTAAGGTAAAAGTTGTAATCCTACAAATTCAGATCATCAGAGCTGTAATGATTTAGCCAAGATTGACCAAAAACAGACCATCCAGCAAAACAGTTCAGCTTTTGAACTTGCCAGTAGATTCCAGACAGCCACAGCCAAGGATCCATTAGCGCAGCAAACCAAAGGCTGTGATTTGATCCTAAGAGCACTATTTCTCTCTTCCCTAGATTGGAGGGTTCACCCTTAATAGAGTACAATTTTCACAGTAACTATAAAAGGAATAAAAAACTACTATCATCTAGGTGGTGACAATTATCCATTCCACACTTGCTTAAGTTTTCCTTTAATATTAACATTTTCTGTAAATTTCTCTTTCCTTTATCCTTTCTTTAGTTCCAACTCTCTGACCATAAAGTTCTATAAAAAACCTTGCTTTAGACCCCCCTTGCCATTGCAGAGTTTTCCTGCTTTCTCACATCTAAAGTACCTGAACAATTGTCTGTTCCAACCGTCTGAAGTCATTCTTCCTTGAAAAAGAGATTCTGTTATTAGGTTTAATGAGCAAGAAGGAAGAAAAAACGTTTTTACTTTTTACTTGCTCTGTCTGCACTATTCAACTCGTCTTTGTTTTCACAATTCTGCCCTGACTGGTGTGTCTGTGTTTTTACTGACAACTTTATTCTCCCCTGTCCCAGAATCATTCAGTGCCTTGTCCTGTTACATCTTAGGAACAGTGCAGGCCAACTTGTTCTTAAAACTTTTGACCAAAACCTCCCAAATCTTATTGTGTACCAATTCAGCCTTTCTTCTTTTCAGCCTCATGTGTTCCTCACATCTAAACACCAGCCCAGGATGAAAGAATACCAGTTGTTATCCTTAACCCCTGCCAACTGCCTTTGTTTCTTCAACATACTAATTTTTCTTTCCCAAGCACAAAAATCTTGTACTATACCAGACTGCTCTTGCTTTGGTTTTTGGTTTGTTTTGTTGGGTTTTTTTCACCCCAGACACAGTCTTCATATCCATAGCGTGAAGATGTTTTGCAAAGGATTTGTCTCTAACATTGCCTCTTCAAATTCTGAACAAGTGAAAATATTATAAAGATGCTATCAGTTGTACTTATCAGCTCATATCAAAACTGACGTGGCTGCATGAATAACAGACAAATAGGCAGAAGCAATTTGTGGGGAAAAAAGCTAATAAAAGGTTAAAAAGAAATGATAATACAGAGCAAAAAAAAAAAAGGAATAAACATACTTTGTGTTAATTCACTGTATTAATAGTACTTGGTTTGCATTAATTTTATCCTTTCCTATATGGAATTAAAAAATGTATTTATGGTAATCCAGAAGTGGGATTAATTTTTACATGTTTAATGGCTTACATGATGCACCCAAAGTCTGCTAAGTAAATTCTGAGTAATTGTGAATTTCTTGTGATACTCAAAAAATAACTCCTTTTTTACCCCATCACATCACCACCAGCACAAGCTTTTCCATGTAAAGCTTCCCATATGTTTTATCATAGTAGATTTCTGCAGGCATTTTAGGTTCTCAGTGCTGAGAGAAAAGCAAGATTACCAGCTGTAGCCAGGTCCAGTGTGCCATTTTCTCAGGTGATCTATTTAAAGTTCAACTTGAAAGGTATTACCTACTAAATACTTATGTTCCCCAAGCAGACTGTTATTCCACCTCTTTTCTGCTCCTGGCATTCATTTCTTCTCTGATTTTTACTAAATTATCATTAGTATGATGAGGAGAATATTTATCCAAGATAGTAAGTGGCTAACCCCAACTTCCAGCAGGAGTCTTGCCTCCATCAGCCATCACATGCATTCTTTCTCATTCTCTAGAGGAGTGTAACAGTATGGATAAAATACTTTCTTTATGTGTACACAGATATACTTTATCTAGAAAGATACATTTATATATGTATACATATATATAGCTATATGTACATATATAAATATATTAAATATTTATCTCCATATCCACATCTAGTGAAAGGTATCCCTTCCCTTGGCAGGGAGACTGGAACTAGGTGATCTTAAGGTCCTCTCCAACCCAAAGCATTCTTTGATTCTACATATGTAAAGTTTAGATATACAATGCATAAGACTTCCTTTAAGAAGAGCTAAAGAACTGAATATTTAAAGTTTAAATGTGAATATAAAGGAATTATTAAAATTTCTTCTTACATGCGATGCTGCATTCATGCTATACTGTTCATAGGAACCATCAAACCTGGAATAACTCATCAGGTCAGCATGCTACAGGCAATTATCCAATGTAGATCAAGGCACTGACATGGTATGCAAGACCAAAACTATTCTGTAAGTACCTTCTGGAGCAGAATTTGTGACTTATTGTCCAATTGCTTATGGCAGAGGGAATTGAAGGGAATAGGGTTCACATTTCATCAAAGTAACCTTAAATTTCATTGAACATCTTTAGGTGTTCATGTATCAATGACAGTAGAGAAAAAAGTACTGATAGCCTCATCTCTAGATATAAGACAATGCCGACTACCTTCCAAACAACAAAGAGTGTATGGCAGTAATAAATACTAAAACCAGGTAAAAATAATTGTTTTAACTTTGAATGTCAAGCAGTGTTAACATTTCAATGATGTGTTTTGTCAACATACTTCTACCTGCAGTCCTAGGATGCTTAGAGAAGAATTATCACCATCTGGAGTGTTACAGAAGTACAAAGCTGCTATCTGTTGTTTTTACCAAAACTTAAATGAAATGGTGGCAGCAGAATCCATTTAATCAAATGTATTAGTGAGTTCATATTTTTGGTAGCAGCAGATGGGCGGCAGTCTGGAAGACTTAGCTAGAAAAGGCTCAGGGTAGTTCTGAATATTTTCTTAGCATGTAAGCATATGCTGGAAGTGGGTGAGTTACCACACTATAGCAAGTTACTGCTCATTAGTAGAAGCCGTGGTAACTGATCATGTGCAATTTAGTCCATTCAGTTTGCAAAGCATCAAACACATTAGATGATGGAGTTCATACTGCGACTAGTTTTTAAAGATGTTAAAGCTGGTTCGAAAGAATGGGTTTCTTTGCTGTAAGTGGTATAGGCTAAGTGCAGTCTGGTTACCTGGGCTCAGATTTATAGTACAATAAATAACATCAGATATGATACAATTACTTTTTGGTGTTCGTTCATGCACTGTTACTCAGGAAGGCAATAGCTAGCTATCAGAGACCAAAATCATATCCTCTCTGCCACTAAACTGTTGCCTGAACCCTAAAGATACTTAATTCTTTCTTCCTTAATTCTAAAAATAAAAGTACAGCAAGGATTTTGGAAAGCTTTCAGTACTGTCTTAACAATACTTCCTTTTAAGTAGATAATTGCATTTCTGAAAGAACTTGCTTTTTAGATCCTTCAGTGTAAGACTAGAGAGGTGCAAAACAAGAACAGTTTGAAAACTGAGGCAGGAACAACTATGCTTATTTTCTAGTAAGGTAATTGACTTTTCAATGTATACAGATTTATTAATAAAAACATTATAAAAATTTTGAAAGTTTTTATTCCAGAAATTTATGCCAGCACATTTTCTGATTCTGCAGATCAAAAAATATAGGTTCACCCCTCTTTCCATGGAGTCCCTCTGACTTCCATACTTCTTTGGTTCAATGAATACTAAAGCCAGAAATCCAACAGGATTCTGCTTGCTACGTTGCATATTCCTACTGCAAAACAATGTACTGTCTGAACCTCTGTGTGTTGCCACCAGCAGCTCCAAATGCCTTATGGCAAAACTTAAACCTTCAGCAGAGTTTCAGAAATACATTGCAGATTTTAGAAACGAGCCTTACAGTTGCAAATTATAACTTCAACCTACTTTCCCCTTTCCTCTTCTTTCCCTTCTGCTCCCTCTCCCCTCCCAACTGCATCCCAAAGATGTCTCTGCTGCTGACATTAATCAGCATCAATGGGTTGCTACCCAGTTCTTTGCAATTTCCACTTATGCTGCAAAAAAGATACCACCCTTTGTTGCAGCTATTAGTAATGGGGTTTTGTGATTTGTGTTTGTACCTCTGGGGACTCTAGTATCATCCTGTTCTTGTATTTTGGAGGCCTCTATTATGAACTACTGAGATCTGTGGGTCTGCAGGTTTCTAATTTGGCAATGTCAAAACAGCAGCGTGGTTAATCAGGTTATGTTAAATAGTCAGACATTAAGACCAGGTGGTGTTCAAGGACAAAAAAGACTTTACTTCCATATGGAGTCCTTCAGTTTTGTAGCCTGTCTGCAAGTTTCACGGAAACCACTGTTAAGGCTTTGTAAAAGTATACTTAGATGCAAAATCAAACCCTACAGGGCTTTCTGACTATTTTGTCCCTGGTTGATGAAAACACTCAATGGTTTGTTGTTTGTTTTTCTTTCTTTTAAAATAATAATTCTTGAAGCATTTGAAATCATTTTAGAAATAAAACTCTTTCTAGAGGAGATGTGATCAACAGGGAAGAAAAAAGATAATCTATAAAGTAGCAGCATATGCCATCTTTGTTGGATTTGAAGAATTCCTGCTATTTGCAATATTTGCCAGATGAATATTTAAAACTACTTCTGAACAGGCAGACTCAGATAACCTTGTTCAGCTAGAGGAATCACTCTTACTTAGACATAAAGATCATCAAACTTACAAGATTTTTCTGTGACTTTGTTTTGTCTATTCTTACATTAATACCTGAGGATGTGGTAATACCTCTGTGGCTTATCAGGAATTTTTGTTGTAAGTAGTTCTTCAGCAAATTAGGATATTCTGATAGAGACATAACTTTTGCAGTAATGCGCTCATTTTGATGATCATTTCAGGAAAAGAGAAATTATTTGTGTTTTCATAAACAGCTGATTGGAGAAAGAGTTCCTTTCTTACAGATAGCTGCATCATTCAAGTTCTCATCTGGAAGTGGAGCTTACGTTTGTTAAAAAAACCTAACCCAACCCAACTCAAACCTGTCAAGTGCAAACTAAGACCGGGATTTCCATGAAGTACTGCACCATTTCTCTAGAAGATCTCCAAGAGGAGAAAAACATTGGCTCCTAGTTGAGAAAATGGCAGGATTAAAAACAGAGAACCTATGGAGAGAAGAATTGCTTCACTAGGCTAAAATGGAGTAAGGCTTCTGGCATGTCAAATTAGGAAACCTCTGAATCGAAATAAAGTAAAAACTGCTTGAAAGTCATCAAGTGTTTCATTCTCCAGGGGTACATTAATTTAACAATTCAGTATTATTCACAGTGACAAAAGACAGGACAGAAATCAGTTAAGTTTCTTGTGGGAAACACGGAACAACAGCTACAATGAAATGAAAAAAAGAACAAAGATAAATAGACATGTGCTTCTATATGAATATCAGAATCCAGAAACAACAGGAATGAACTGAAAAGACTGGTTTAAATAAGGCTGTTGCTACACTGGGCATGTACAGAGTTGATGAAAAATAAGTTATCTATGGAATCACTTAATATTGTGGAGTAAAGCACTTAGAAATACTTAAGTGAAGTCCAAGAAGTGGTTCTGAAAGATGAAGAAACGAAGAAAGCATGCAATAACTCGAACTGTACCAACAAGAACCAGTGCTTGTATGAGTCTAAAGATCAAGAGGTAACTTAGAGGAGTGTAGCAGCTATAATACAATATATACAGTTACTCGACACCCTACTAGGATGGTAGTAATGAGTGTAGTGAGTAGAAATCACAAGAGCAGAACCTAAACTGATAGCAAGAGACTCTGATCATTGCTAAATTTGCTACACTTTGAAGGATAGCTTCTCAGAGCAACAGGCTGAAGGAGAACACCTAAGCAGCATGTAGGAAAACATTACTTCTCTTTAGAAATAACCAGAAGGTGCTTACATTTAAAATCGCTTTAGGTAAGGAAAGAATCCACTACACAAAAATTCATTTCTCTGTTTCACTGTAGAGAGGGAAATGAAGCAGCTATTTGAAATACCTACCCAAAAGGCTGCAGTAGTTGCAGCAGCTCAATCATTTAAAGATGTGACGGTGAATATACATAATAGATGCATACACTACACAAAAATGGCAACAGGAGAAGTGGGCAGAAGAGAGGAAAGGATGTAGAAGCAAGGCTTGCATCTTTAACAGGAGAATAAAGAAAGATACTAGAAATAAAAGATAATTTTATAAGACATGTCCAACTGAAAGAAACAATAAAGGGCATACCAGGAAGTTAAAACTTTAACATGGCAATTCTTTAACAAGACGATGAAAAACTTACTAAAAGGAAAACAACCCCTAGCCCTACAAATAAAACTTCTTTCCCAAATACATTGACCTTTACAGAATTGATAGGTCCACAAATGGTAAAGAAGTGAAAGGAGCACTCTTGGAAAGCAAGGTGAATAAAGATAGAAACAGAAAAAGGAGAAAGAATTATTTGGTAGCCACTATTTTAGGGAAGTTGCTATATGAGTTTTTAGTTAGAATGAATCTGAAAGATTGTTTTAAATTTAAGCATCAATGCCAAAAGTTTGAGAGTAGTAATTGTTTACCATTCTGCATAGTATATGCACAAAGCTAATAGAATTTTCCTTGACCTATTAAATTTTTTGTGCCCTCAGGACCAGAAGAACAGAGAACTATAAATGCACTGTGACTCTTTTTTATGGTGAGAGGGAAGAGAGTCTATTGAATAGCAACAGACCAGAAAATCCGATTTATCTAGTGGATAAACTGGAAGAAAACATACAGACAGCTATAAGACATACAGACAAGAATGATACAATGGATGTACAGTCAACATTGCTTTTGAAAGAAAGGAGGCACATCTGTGAAATCTTATTAGCTTTCCCTGAAATCACAGTTGGAGAGTGGAATGAAGGTGACCAGGCTGTTTTTAGGAATTAGGATATTCAAAAATTGTTTTCATATGATGCCTCCCTAAATCTCTTGGCTTAATTAAATTAACAAAGCAAAGACCAATTCATGAATTAATAACCAACTCAAAGACAAGAAAAAAGTTCTGGTGAGCTCAAGTTACCAGAAAGTCCCAGAAGTATCAGAGATGGATGATTTTTTATTTCTTTACTGTGCCATACCTTCCTGAGTAACTTGAAAAGGGATATGAATAAGAAAGAAATAAAGAAGATGGAAGACATAGTTACGTCACTTTGCCTCAACCCAGATACACTCAAGAGGTACCCATTTCTTGAACATTGAGCACAGTGCATGTGTGACAAAATGGGAAGTCCAGAAAAGGGTAACAAGAATAAGCAAAGATAAGAAATCATTTTCATAGGAGGTGAAATTGCACAAAGCATGGCTCAGGACAAGGTGGCAGGGGAAGGGGGGGGGGTGTGCGGATAGTATAATAAATGGGTTTTAAATAAATTATATGGACATGATGTACAGAAAATGGTTATTCACTATTACTTATGATTCTTCAAGGACTAAGGTGAAATATACCCGAGAGTCACTTCAGAGTCACTTCCTTAAAAACTGACATGGTTTCTGAATAAGGATAGACATTACTGTTTAAATTATAACTGGGATTATCAGATTTAATCTTAAAGATGGAATCATTATTTCAACAGATTTCAACTGTTGATTAGACCTGTAAAACCTGAGAGTACGAGACATACCCTGTAATATATTTGGGCACAAGCTTCATACTTTTCTATTAGCTCTCCATTACTGTTGAAAACTCTATCATAATTCCATGCTCAAATATAGATTTATAATTAAATAATTTTCCTACAAAAACTGAAAACTTTTCCATAGATTTTGTTCTCCTGAAAATAGTATTTCTGTCTGTTCATATTTGTAATGCATCTTGTATAGATACAAAGAACAGATGAATAGTTATGCAGTTTTTGGAGTCCTACATTTTGTGACTTTCTTGTTCAATGAACTTGATTAAAAGTTGATAAAAAGATGATTGGTGAAAAGTACAAGATTTTTGAGGTTATAAATTTTATTTTCTGATCATGTGGTTTCTGGAGTAATAACTGAGTTTTTATATGAACATAGTACTTTAAATAAAACCTTAATCCATACTGATCTGAATTTAACTAACTGAAATTATGCATTATAGGTCAATGTATGCACACAAATATGTATTTTACTTGTATACAATTTATTTAAGCACGCACATAAGGTTTCTGCCACAGTGTTACCTTAGAAAAAACAACCATCTTGAGTTATCATCAATGATAGGTAATACACAGATATTTCTACATCCAGAAGCATCAGGTATAGCAGTACATCGAGGCAGTATCAACTCATTACCAAATAGAAAAAAAACTATGCTTCTTGAATTGCCAGTATTAGTCTTCTGGTGCCTGGGTTTGCCCAACCTTTCTTAGCTTGCAAGAGCTGACAAGAACAAAGCCCGATGTGTCATGCATGCTCAGAAAGTTATGGAAATGTATTTGAAATTTGGTGCTCAAATGGACTCTGGAGTGGTGTTACTCTTTGTCAAGTTTCAGCCCACAAAAAGATTACAAAGCTGAGCTGTAACCTAGTAAAAATAGAATTTGCAAATCAAGCACTGACACGAGTCTCAGGCATAATAGGATGAGCACTATCACATGTGAATGAGCCTTTCTCTCTTTCACAGTAGCATGTCATGCAGTATGCAAATAACTTGGCTTAATAACAGCTTCATTTTAAAAAAGAGTTCATGTGGTTAAACACTCAGAGACAGTTATTAATGTTTTAATTTTATGGACTGAACTAGGATGCATAAAATTAAATCCAACAAAACCCTAAAAATAATTAAAAAGAAGTCAACTAAATGCAAATTATCATAAGCTAGTATGTTGCTGCTACGTTAGGGTTTCTAACCTTAGGAAACCAAAAGGGATATATTGTACAGGCAGTAAATAATAAAATCATTTATATAAAAATACGTCTGGATACTCATGTAGTATGTCACAATAACTTTAGTTAAGCTACATAAAGAAGTTCAAGATGAATTAATAGCGGCTTATAGGTATGAGATATATGTATACACTAGGCAGAAGGCTTATAGGTATACGCTACCTATACATGGTAGTGCTTTCAATGAATGAGTGTAACTCCAGACAGCTTAGAGAGAGGAAAACCTCAGCTAAAAAGCTTTGAATAAAAAAGACACACACAACAACATTGAGGGTCTTAACTCATTATAGAGCTATTTACATACTAGGTCTAAATATACTGAATAATATGGTTTTTAATAATAAATAAAATTTCAACTCTATTGAAAACTCAAATTTGAGTTTTGTAATAGGATTGTGAAAGAATCTGCTATAATATTTACCAGCAGCTTAGTGATACCTTGTTCCAGGTTCTTCAGAGCTTTCAGGAGGTTTTAAGTTCTATTTCTCACTCCTGTTAATGCAGACCCACATTGCCAATTTGTGTGGGCCTATCTGAAATGAGCAGCAATGTGGTTTGCATTTGAGTTACTCTAACAGGTTTTTGTAATCATTTAAAAGATGTGACATGTAGTTGAGATGAAGGTTGGATATATTCAGTGTTTCTCAAAATGGTCCTTTTGTTAATTTTCTTAGTAACTTTTTAATTTTATAATTGGAAAGAAAAAATATACCGATTCTTTAATATCATACTAGGTTAATGAGTACTTTCTTTTTTTCAAATCTTGTTTATTTTGAAACTCTTCACAGTCTGCTCCACTCTCTCAACTTTTAATATGCTAATGAAGTATCTTCATGCCCAGTAATTGAACATAAGTCTTCCAGCTCACAGGCTTTTTTCACTGGTTCTGGTGTGGCAAATTCCCCTAAATGTAAGTGCTACTATCTCTCCCCTACATACACAAATACTCCTAAGCACCTTCTCTGCAGATGACAGCCATTTCCCTGTAAGGCTAAAACATACACCTACATTGCAAATGTACAGTTTACAATGCTACCAAAGCTGGCAGGCCCAACAGCAACAGGTTCAATTTTTCTGGTGTCAAACCTACAACACACAACAACTGTCCAGTATTTCCAAAATATCAACAACCTAGGCTGCCAGACTTCCCCAAATGCAGTAAATCATTGCCAGAAGTAGTAGGGCAGTAGATTAC